AGTGTGGATTTTCCTGGGACCAAAAGCGATAGTTGTGCCTGTTAACCACTCCATTTAAATAAAACGTAGCTTCATCCGAAAAAAGTACGTCTCGTTGAAAACCATTATTGTCGTCACACCGTCTCATCATTTCCTCACAAAATTGTAATCGCCTATCATAATCGTCTTTCAAAAGCTCTTGGACAAGACATACCTTATAGGGGTGGTATTTCTCTTGCTTCAGAAAGATTCGAAGTGCAGTTCGAGAAGCATCGTGATTGCGGGCCAATGAAGTATGAGGATTTTCAACAAGTTCTAATGCAATGTCTAATTTCTTTTCACGTGCCCGTCCAGTTTTGGGCAAAGTCTGTACTATCCCGTGTTCCTCAATTTTGTGAAATATTTTACTAACTGTCCCTTGCGAGATTTGTTTTTCGAGATATTTTGCATTAAATAAATCGCGCACTTCCGCCTAACTTCTTATTTTGTCTCCACATCCAAGCAATATCATGCGTTGCCTTTTCGACAATACCAATGCAATTCAGTAAATAAATTGATTTTGACACCATAGTAACGTTTCGAACTCCAATTTACAACTAAAGCCAAAAATTAACCAGAAAGCCTGGCAAGTAAGAGGTGCCAAAAAAACGCAACATAAAAAATATATCTTTTTTGCGTTAGCAGCGATAGGTACAGTTTCTAATTCTTTATTTTATTCTGTGCAAATTCATGGAGGATAACACTGAAGATAATTAAATTTTATTTCACTTGTTAAGTAGTGTTTTCTACAACCCTAAAAACCTTGCTATTGAAAAAATAAAACTTGTTTATTTGGTATGGCTGGATTCGGTTTTCTATAAGCTTTTCAATGAGCCCCCTCATGCCTTATGTTTCCATTTGAAAAATAAAGTAGGGGTAGCTGGGGGTTAGGGGGTTGAAGAAAAATTAATTATTATATAACCGAAAAATGGGAAAAATTTAAAATCAGTTAACGTGTTTCGGCGTTTTAAAAAAAAAATTACTCATTCAAAAAATATGAATTTTATTTCGTACTTCTGGCCATCCCTGTATATGACAACTAGAATTTACCTCGATCTTTGACTAAGATGCACGAAAAGATTACAGCATACTCTTTAAAGTTAACTTAAGTGCTCCAATAAAATCGTCAAACGGATAGTATTAACAGAAATATCTGGATTTAATTTCAACATTAAATTTAATATTACGAAAT